TCTAACTAAACTAGGCATATGCCAATTTGAATCAACTTTCAACACTCCTTCAAAATTGCACACTCCAAACTCATTTCTGAAATAAGAGAGTGATTTTGTAAGAATATCAGCTATCTGCTCATTTGTGTTGTAGTACTGCAGATTGATCAGTGCTTTTGCCACAAGCTATTGAATGAAGTGAACTCAAATATCCATATGCTTCATTCTTCCGTGGTAGGCTGGATTCTTAGCCATGATAATTATCGCTTTGCTATCATAATAGATTCCAGTTCCTTCATCTTGTTTTTGATCAAGGTTTGCAAGTAACCATCATAACCATACATCTTGACATGCCGATGAAGTTGCTGCTGCATATTCAGCCTCAGATAATGATAAAGCTGTTGTTCCTTGCTTCTTCTGTTTACATGAGATGGCTCCTGATTCCAAATTGAATAAATAACTGGAAATACTCCTATCTTCCAAATAGCCAGCCCAATCACTGTCAGTGAATCTGCACAATTTGAAATTTGAAACATGATAATATCACAACCCAAAATCTATTGTTCCGGCAATATAATGCAAGATCCTTTTTGCAGCTACTAGATGATGCTGTGAAGGGTAACGCATGAACCTTGAAATAACTCCAGTTGTGAATGCTATCAGGTTTTGTATGAGTTAAGAGACAGCAAGCCACCAACCAAGCTTCTGAAGTAACTTGGGTTTGCTTGTTAAGTTTCATCTTCTTGCTGCAACTTCTCATTCAAATTCAAAGGTATGGCTGCAACTTCACAATTCAGCATGCTGAATCTTTTAAGAAGATCAGTTACATATTTCCTTTGTAAAACAAAAACTCCATCTTCTACTTGATTCACTTCTAGACCAAGAAATTAACGCAAAAGACCAGATCTAACATTTTTTTTCTTCATAGAAACTTTAAATTCATCAACAAGAGAGGAAGAAGAACCCATATAAAATATGTCATCAACTTATTTCAAAAAATAAAATAAAATATGTCATCAACACAGGGACAAACAATAAGAATACTTTTACTATGTCTCTTCACATAAAGTGTGGGATTATTCTCGCTTCTTTCAGAATCATTTTGACGAAAAAATGAATCTATCTTGCTATACCATCCTCGTGGAGATTGTTTTAGTCCATATAAGGCTTTCATTAATTTATAGAAATGTTGTAGCTTGCATTTCTGGACTTTCAGTGAGATCCTTCAATATGAATTTATTAACTGAAGCTTCAACTTCTGCTTTTTTCTCAATTCTAGTGAGCATTCTCCTCAACTTTGAAATTTCTTGCAACAATCACCTTCTTTATTTGAATGCTGAAGACTCTATAACCTTTGACATTGCTGCTCAAGCCAAACAATATGCCAATTTGAGCCTTTTCGTCCAGTTTGTCTCTTTTCACTTGGAACATGGATATACCAATGAGTTCCAAACACTTTCAAGTGCTGCTGTTAGTTTTGAGCCAATCAAGCTTCATATGGTGTTTAATCCTTCAAGGATATCTTTGCTTCAAACCTTTCTGGAAGACTCACAAGGACATTTTCCACCTCTCTTATTGGCCAACTCCTCTCCCAACATGCTCCCTTGATTCACAACTTTCATGACACTATCTATGAAGTTTTTTTTTAAAAAAAGACATTTTCCAGTTACCCATCCTAAGAACCTCAAATTCTCTTTTTAGGTTGTGCACTTGTATTTGCTTTGTTTTTTTACTCCCTTGGAATTCCTTCTAGTTCCATCTCGAGCTTCTTTTCCAGCTTCACGACACATAATCCTTACAAAGATGGTATCAGAAACTGCTGAATATATGAAAGAGAGAGCCTTAGAACTTTTTGCTCTCTCTTCTGCATAACGGTTCTGTAGAATTATGAATTATTTTTCTGTATTTTTTTTTTTCTGTCTTTTACAACCTGGTAATATAACAAAATGGTTACTGTCAAATTGTGCTGTTTTTTCCTTTCCATTAGAGAAGTTTGTTAGTTTTTGTCTTTTTCTTCCTTCCTTAGCCTATAAAATGTTGTTGATTATCGATGAAAGAAATGTGAGTGAGAAGAAAAGAGAAGTTATTTCTTTTCTCAAGTTCTTCAGGTTCATTTGAGCTTTGCTCTCAACGGAATAGGATTTTCTCCAAACTCCACAGCTTTCCAAAGGTCCATTCTTTTCAAAAAGACCTTCATTCTAATAACTCATGGGTAGTAGTTTTGGCCCTTGAAGATGGGAGGTGAGGAAGAGCTTGAACTGCCGGAGGCTATTTCTGTTTTTGAGTGGTGGCTCTGAGTTTTTTGCAGCTGGTTTGGGATCTTTCTTAGCAAACTTGTATCCTCAGGAAATTAAAAGACACTGGAAACTTAACTAGAGATTACTGCAGAGACGTCAGCAGATACGAAGAAGAATGGATATTAGAGTTTAGCAGCAGAAATTAAGAGAAAGAAGAGAATAGACAACAAAGAGAGTCAAGGACTGCTTCGTTCTGAGTATTAGTGGACAATCTGTGATAATCCCATCAGTTTCAAATAATTTCTATTCATACCTAGATTCCCATTTCCACAAATTTGAAGACAAGTTACAGCTCTATATGCATGCATAAGAAAAATTCCTAAAAAATTGCCAGAAGATCTAACAACCATGACAGATAACAATTACAATTTAAGCATGTAAAATCATTACTTTAAACATGTAGCCAGCCGTTTACACCCGCTCTCAATCTTTTTCTTCCCACGCTTGTATTGAACTTGTGGAGCTGACAGTTTTGGGCTTGAGTTGAAGAAAATCATGGGACAGTTGCCCAATGGCAGACCAATTTTGGCAGCCAGTGAGGGAGATGTTATGTTTCAGAAGACTCCTTAGAATGTTAGAAGAAACTATCTCTTGAATCAAAGATAGACCAAGAGCAACAACCTGTTGCTAAAATTATTTTCTCAATCATAACTTATTTCTTTTTTCAATTGAACCATCATTTGATATGATAAAATTAATAATGGTGAATTATGAATTTTTGCAGCATTTCTAAAGCTAAATATAGAAACCAGTGCCAAGTAAACATAAAATATGTATAGAATTCACTTCCTCATATTCTTTACAAAACCATAATTAAATCATTGTATATTTTGTGCACAATTTTTATGTCTGGAATTTCAGTAGGGTTCGTCGGATTAGAACCTCCAAGCCACTAGGACTCCAAGTGAAAATGCCAATACAGCCGCGGCAACAATGGCGTTATTCTTGATCAACTCCAATGTTGTCTCCATTCCAGAACCAGCTTCCTCTTCCCATTTCTTTAAAAGCTCCTCTCTGAAACTATCTACATAGTTCCTTTTGTTATTCTCATTCCTTTTGTTCTTCTCACTTGCATCATACTGTTCTTCGTCACTGGAATATTCATGGCTGCTGTGTTCTAGTTGATTTATACCATTTTCATCTTCATCACTAACTAGTTGGTTTTGTGCTTGTTTAGGAACAGTCACATATAGAATTTCGTTTTGAAATTCTGCTGTAATGTTATCCATGTCTGAATTCTCTGGCAGTTCAAAACTTTGATCGAAGTATATTGTCTTATCACTATGAACTTGCCTCTCGCCACTGATGTTTATGTGGCCAGTGTTATCAAACACAATCCTCACGTTCTCGAGTTTGAAAGCTGTTAGTATAAGAATGAGAGAAGTGAATGAACTTGATTTATTTTTACTATCACTGTCATACTTTGAAATCATTTTCATTTTTACTCAATAGATACATACCTCTATCCATGTTTTCATAAATAACCACATATAAACATATGCATGATAGATTTTTCCATAATGGTAAAACTGATAATGATTAAGGTTGTTGATGTGCACAATACCAGGAAGCTTAACCAGAAGATTGTGAGCATTTGAATTATTTGACCACTTTGAAGTAGGTACAAACTCTTCCATAATACTGCCGTGCTCTCAGGATATCTGGTTGGCCCTTGGCGATGCCATTGATAAGCTGTATAAAAACTCAAAACTGTATACAATGGAACAATTTGTGTTTGAGAAAGGATGCTTTTAGTTTGATTATGTTTTCGTGTGTAGAAATAAATTTACAAGTTAATAGGTTTTCCTTCATTTATTTATTCTAATCCCAAACTTGAAGTTTGCAACTTCCAACTATGGTAGGAGTTCTGAAGCAATTCATTTGGAGGAAAGGCACCTTCTTTGCTTTCATCTATCATAAAACCAAATACAAGATAGAATTATGGGTGCCGAAATAACTTGATGGAGAGAGCAAATGCATAACCAAAATCACCAAAGGGCTTAATTAACAAGTTAATGCTGGATTATACCTTAGTCAGTCGCTTTGCCATTCAAAAACGCATATATATATATATATATATATATGTAAATATTCACTTGCTTTGATGATTGAGTTACACCATTGGCACTTTATTCTTTATTTTTTAGGTAGATTTCAAACTTTTTCATCAAGACAACAATAAAATTTAAAATTTACGACAACCCATAAAATTTCAGGGTAAAATTTGAGATGATAATATTCAAGGTGAAGTTTGATATGCTAATTTAATTATATATATAGTTCTACATATCAACAAAGTTCAGGATCATAGCTCAAGGGCAAGTCCTCAAATGATCCCAGCTGAGAGTTCAATATGTTTCTTCAGTTTGTACATTCAATTTGTGATTTGTAGGCTAATCACAGAGTTTGATACATTAATTTTGTGGATTTGTAGGTTTTGGTACAAAATCTGGAGTAAAATTTACAAAGATTTTTCTCGTGAATCTTCTAATATGATCATGGATGTGGAGTAAGTCGACGATGAAGTATAGAAAAAATTTAGTTTCAATGTACCAAAACTGATTCAAAAATACTTAAATTGTTAAATAAGTGTATATATATATATATATATAATCTTAAACTCACATTATCTACTAAATTATAGTTTACTTTTTATAATTGAATTATTTTCATTTATATTTTAAAGCTCTATTTTGGTATATGAGATTCTTTCTAGTTTCTTTGGTATACTTTTATATATATATATATAAATTCAGACCTGCAAAATTGTCAAACCCATAAAAGAAGTCAAACTCTGAGTTAACATATGATCAACTGGCACCTCATGTTATAATTATCAAATCAAATTTAGATCAAGACTCTAAATTGACCATGACAGAGAAGTGGTTCTCCTCCATTTCCTCCAGGCGTCTCATTTCTTTCTCATCCCTTATTTTACTTTTTCCCATCAACCTATTTAAACCCAATCCCACCAACTTCACTTTTTAACTTCTCATTTATCAAATTTTCCTTTTCTTTCTAGTATATACATATATGTATGTATATATCTTCTCCTTAGGCTAATAATATAACAGTGAACAGTGAGAAAGAAAAGGAATTAATTAATGGCTGGAAATGGATTTTTATTTTTATTTACAATAATATTTGGTGTAATCCCAAGCCTCAAGGGTCATATTGGTGAGTATGATGATGTATGGCAGAAACGTGCTGAAGAAGCAAAGAAAGCTTCCATGGATGCTTACCATCCCAATCCTGAGGAAATCACCTTCAAATTAAACGAACAAGTTCACTTGTAACCTCCCTTACTCTCTACATATTAATCACATCTACATATATAAACTCACACCCATAATTATAATGGGTTATAGATTTGAGTTGAACTGTATTCCTGTGTGTTTTTTTCTTTTTGTTTAAAATTTTGTTTTTTAATTTTATTATAATCGGTGTTTATATATCACTATACTATAGGTCACTTGAAGGAACAAATAGCACGAGAAGGAGCTTGAAGGGGAAGAAGAAAAGAGGAGGAAGATGCGAAGCCACGAACCCAATTGACCGATGTTGGAGGTGCAACAGAAACTGGGCCAGGAACCGCAAGAAGCTAGCGGATTGTGCATTAGGATTCGGCCGAAGAACCATCGGAGGCCGAGACGGACCATTCTACGAGGTGACCGATCCATCTGACTCCGACATGCTGAACCCTAAGCCTGGAACCCTACGTCACGCCGTGACTCGCGACGGACCCCTATGGATCACCTTCGCTCATGACATGATCATCAAGCTAAGCCAAGAACTGCTAGTTACCAGCCACAAAACAATTGATGCTCGCGGTGCTAATATCCGTATTGCTTATGGCGCTGGAATCACCGTCCAGTTTGTCCAGAATGTTATCATACATAACCTGCATATTCATGATGTTCAAGGGGCGAGTGGAGGAATGATCAGAGATTCAGTAGGTCATTTTGGGCTTCGTACGAGAAGTGATGGTGATGGGATCTCCGTTTATGGTTCTTCCCATGTCTGGATTGATCATATTTCCATGTCCAACTGCTTTGATGGATTGATTGATGTTATCATGGGGTCTACTGCCATTACCATCTCCAACAGCCATTTCACTCGCCATAACGATGTAAGTTCTAATTATTTCTTCACCACCCATTACCAATATACGGAAGTTATTTGTGTCTATATATATATACATATTTATATATATATATATATGATGGGTATGTACGGATGGATGCAGGTGATGCTGTTTGGAGCAAGTGATAGTTACCCAGAAGATAAAGTGATGCAAGTAACAGTCGCGTTCAACCATTTTGGACAAGGATTGATTCAAAGAATGCCCAGGTGTAGATGGGGGTTTGTTCATGTTGTTAATAATGATTATACTCATTGGCTCATGTACGCCATTGGTGGAAGCAGTAATCCCACCATTCTCAGCCAGGGTAATCGCTTCATAGCTCCTCCTAACCAAGCCTGTAAAGAGGTACATCTCTCCCTGTATAAGTATATGCTACAGTTTTGTCTGTCCTGTTTCATCTATTAATGAATGTTTGAATGAATGGTCAGGTGACGAAAAGAGATTATGCACCGGAGAGTGAGTGGAAGAATTGGTCGTGGAGATCGGAAGGAGATCTGATGATGAACGGTGCGTTCTTCGTTCAATCTGGGAGGCCAATTATAAAGAAGAAGTCGAGGAATGTGATATCTGCAAAGCCTGGAACTTACGTTAGAAGGCTTACTCGTCACTCAGGTTCTCTTGATTGCTTCTATGGAAAACCTTGCTAACTCATCTTCTTCAACACATCACAACTGTTTTCTCTACGGCTCTTCCATTTTCTTGTCTTCCCCATTACAAGCAAACACACAGTAGAAGTTGATAGCCTGCACTTTCTTTTTTCCTTTATATTTTCTTCTTCTTTCTTTTTTTTTTTTAATTTTATTTTTTATTTAATTTTTTTAAGTTTTGGCATTGTGAATTTATTTTATGAAAAATCAAATAAATGATTAAAAGGGTTCAACTTCATCTGTAAAACAGTACTATGGAATTCATAGAGCAGATTTTTTAATTATTATGGGTATTAATTTTATTTAACTTTAATTTCAACTAATTAATTCTGTGAATTATTATTATGTAGAATCCAAGTAGAATTAAATAATTACAAAATATATTGAATTCAAAATAAACTTATTTTAAATAGGGTAATTTAATTAAATTATATTATATAAAACATTAATATAATATACTCAGAAGAATATAAAAATTAATTTATTATTTATCTACTTCAAACCATGCAACTCTTGATTTCCTTTCTATATATATATATATATATATATATATGATTAATATAATATATACTAAAAATAAAATTAAGAATGGGAAAGTTGAATTAATAAAGTACCATAAATTGAGCAATTTAAAAGGAAAAAAAAAAAAATCACTAAAATTTATTTAAGAAAACACATGGAAATTATTTACACTTAAAATAGTCTCATTAGACAACTTTGATCACACTCATCAACCATTAATTCCATAGCAGCAAAGCTTGTTTGAGGGTTTATGACAAAGCATCAATTGAATTTTACTCACCCAAAAGAATTATAAAACTAAGAACAAGGAAAAACAAATTGAATTCAACTTTGTGGCTAAGTCTACAAAATGAATTTGTTTGAATTCCCAAATCAGAGCAGCTAACTTGTTCTGCAGCACAAAGATCAGCTGTTCCACCTTCTGGCTATGAAGGCACCTCAAGTCTAAGCAGCTTGGTGAACTGCACCATTGATGGAAGCTCATTAATATAAATCACACAAATCTGATACATGATTCTAAATCCAACCATTTTCCCTTCCCATTTCTGAATAACTATGAGATTCATGATTCACACCAAAGTTTCTCTCTTTATCTTACAACCACATACCTGAGATGTCTTGAGCTCCAGTTCTTCCCATTCTGAACACGAATTGCTACCTTCTACTATACCGGTTCCAGCGTAGATTAGTGCCCCAACATCCTATGATTAAAGCATGTCCACATCAAAATAAGACAAATGTTTCCTTCTGCTTTAAATTTCGACCCTATTCCAAACCAACTAGTTAAATTTCAACCAGTGGAAGTATAAGTCCATCAATGTACGATTGAAGGTGGGAATGATATTAGTTTAATTATGTATTAGATATCCTACAATTATGTTCAACTATAGACCACTTTTTTCAAATTTTAACCATTGGAAGTATAAATCTATGATTCTAGGATTAAAGATATTAGTTTAATTATGTATCAGATATCTAAATTATAAAAAAGTTCTACATATTATAATAACTAAAATGAAAGTGATTTTTTGTACGCTGCTTTCCTTTTCCCTCCATTTTTTCTGTCAAATTATACTGAAAAGAGAAAAGGTAAAGCCCAGTAGCAAAGTGTTTTACCTTTTCCACTAAGGCTGACCTGATGCCAACAGCAAATTCACTCTCTCCTCCGCCAAACCAACCAACAGGCCCGGCATACATTCCTCTGTCAAATAATTCTGGAAAAAAACATATACAGCCAGCATTATCCATCAAGATCTAAAACATCTTGTACGCCTGAAAAGTATACAGAGTCTATCTTTGCCATTCCCAGGAACTATCCCCCAAGTGGCTCCTCTTTGTTTTTGGTAATTGCTTGTTATAAGTGTATACATAACTTCCAGTTGCCTACAGCCTATTCAATCACCCTTTCAGCAACCAACAGCTAAAATAAATGCTACCAGCTAGATTACCAACCAAGAATAAAGTTGCACTTGCTTAATCAGATGGTAAGATGTGTACTTGGGACAGTGAATATAAA